GGGGAAGCACGCCGGGGCGCCGCGGACAGGCGGCGAGCCGGGCGGCAGCGAGAACCGCACGAGGGACAAGGGACAAGGCAGCACGGGCCAGGCCGCCCGGAGGAGAGCGACGGAGCCGCGGCACATGGCGTTGGCGCCGCCGTCGCTCTCGCTCCCGGAGGGGGTCCCGCTGCTACCCCCCCCCACCCCCCCGCCGTCCGTCCTGCGAGAGCGAGACGAGGATTCGTCCGTCGGCCAGTAGGTGTCCTCTCCTCTGTCCCCAGACGTCGGGGAGCTGGCTTGCCTCGCGTGAGAGCTGAGCTGCAGGGCTCGGTCGGCGGCGTCGAGGGCCTCAATGCTGTCGCGGACAGAAAAGTTCTTCGACCCGGACCTCGCCCCGCGCCTTCTGCGGCTGCTGCCACTGCCAAGGTCACCGTTTCCACTAGGGAGTGATTCCGGAACCCATCCGCCGCTATCATCCCGGTCTTCGCGATTTCGGTGGCCTCGCGCAGCGGCGGCGGCGGGCGCCGTCTCCGCCTGATCTCGCAACTGAAGACCCGCCGCTGCGCTGGAGTCAGGATAGCCGGCAGCCACATCTCGCACGGACGGCAGCGAGGAGGGCGGTGCCGCCGCCGACACCGCCGCCCCCCTGCCACGGAGCGGAAAATCGCCCGGCATGAGCAACTGGAGGGGAGGGTCCCGCGTCGCGGTGGGGGGGGTATCCCCACCCTCCACTGCTGTGGTGTCCGCTGCCATGCCGCCGCCGCCGCCGCCGCCGCCTTTCCTCGTCGCTCTCCAGGCGCGCTGGACCGTCCTAGCGGCTGCTTCGGCCGAGAGCGCGGCACCCCAGCCCTCGATCGCCTCGCTGCTCGACGTGCTCCACGCCTCTCCCTCCGCGTTGTGGTACAGCATCGTAACCTTGGCCAGGTCTCCGCCGTGCAGCACGCGCACTCCCCCTCCCAGCACCTCCAAGCGCTGCCTGATCGACTGCAGAGAGCCGCCGCCTGCCGACTGGGGCAAGGGTGACAGCACGAAGCCCGACACGTCTACGGTGCCCGACATCCCCGGGCAGGCGGCCACGAAGCTGTGGGTGTTGGGGTCGAGCAGGGCGAACTCGCCTCCCTTTTTCGACGTAAACCCGCTCCTCCAGCAAAGAAGCGCCTGCGGGTCGTGTTAAGCAAGGAGACAAGAATCGAACCCTAGTCCTCGGTCTAGTGTTACATGGTTGAGAATATACAACGTGTGGTGTAGTGTTGGGTGGCGTGCGGTACGGGTCTTCGCGCGGTAGTGGGGAGAATATTTGACACACAACTTAGACACGCGTCGCTTAGGTGATGGGCGTACCGTACTGTAGCTTTCCCATTATCTCCGTGCACGTGTCAATAGAAGCTTTGGCAAGCGGTTGGGCCTTGCATTATTGCTTACCTGTTCAACTTTTGCTCGCGCGTGCTTCGACAGACTTTCAAGGTGTGCAGAGGCACACTAGGTATCGTCAAAATCGTTGCCTCTTCTCTCTCCCTCCCCTCTCTTCGTCTCTCTTTCTCCGTCTCTGTGTTCTCTGTCTGTCTACCTCTTGTCTCTCTCTCTCTCACCCGTGCATCTCCAACGTCCACCGCCCACATCTCCCCCAGCTCCACGCCACTCTCCACCGGCAAGCCATCCCCACCCTCATCGACGCCCAGAGGACGGTGCGTCGACTCCACCTCCCCGTCCGACAGGCCGACACGCCACAGCCTTCCCCCCGGCTGGGCCACGTACGCGAACAGCACCGCCCGTGGTGCTGCCGCCACCGCCGCCGCCGCCGGCAACGCTTCGCAGCTTTCTCGTCTCTCAGGTGTTCTCATCCCGGCGCTGCTCCGTCCCCGAGCTCCGCCAGCCACAGCCGAGGATGAGGTGCTGCTGCTGCTGCTGCTGCCACCGACGCCTGGCATCTGCGCGGGGCCCCAGAGACAGCCGCCGAAGTCCGTCCGGGAGGGGGGCGGGGGTGGCGGTGGGGTGCGGCTGCTGTTGCCGCCGCTTGGTTGTCCGGTGTCGGCGGTTGTGTGGTCGACGACGTTGAGGTCCACGGAGGTCTTGTGCGGTGCGACGATGCTGCAGTAATAGCATCACGGCGACAGCGGAGAGGGGGGTCGGGAGGGGTTCGCATTGAGGTTCAGGTCGATGTTCTTACTCCGGGTGCTAGACAAGCACAACTTCTTCATCGTCAAAACGAGGGACTCTTCTCGGAGGTCGGAGACAGTAGTACCTGTCAGGACCCTGACACCACACGGCAGCAATCTGCAGCAACGACCACAACACAGCAAAAACGACGACGACATATGACGGCGACGACCACAACATAACAACAACGACGACCATGGCGGCAACGACGATGACATCGGCAACGACGACAACATAACGGCGGCGACAACATCAGCAAGCAAGTACACTCGACCCACACGGGAAAAAAAGTCGGTCCCTCACCTGACATCTTCACCGACCGCGAAGTAGAACAGCACCGCCTGTTTCCTGGTCATGACCAGGAGCACATCGCACGCCAAGAACCCTTTCGTCGCGCCGGGCAAAGAGGCCCTAGTCCGACCGAGATCCAGGCTCACCCCCGGGGACCCCGTGTGGCCGACGACGATGGCTTGGGGTGATGCCGGGGTGTCGGCCTTGGTGGAGTCGTCGGGCTGATGGACGCCAAGGAACTGCATCTGTGAGGCGAGAGAAAACGGCAAGACGTGTGGATGTTGGCAGAGTCTACACGAGTTTTAGGGAGGCGAGCTCGGTCAACATTTTTGTCTTCGTGGCACAAGTTTACTGGGTAACAGACACGCACAACACACAACGGTGCGGTCCGTTGTTGACGGCGGCCGCCTACGGCAGTCGGGCCATGTGGCAATTCAACTCGGAGCACCCGATGTATCTATACATGTTGCCGGGTACACCATGAAATAAAACGCCTCTTGTGCGATCAAACCTACTCGTTGGGCCCGGGGCTGAAGCAACGCACCTGGTAGTACCACCAGACCGCGGCAAAGGGGGGAGTGCTATTCGAACCGAACGCTTCTTACAGAACAAAACAACGAAAAAAGTGCCGCAATCCAGCGAGGCAAGGCAAGAGCAATCGTCACTAATAACGGTCTCACTCACCACCCCGGTTATCCCAGCGGGGCCCGCAGCGGGGGCCCCGCGTCGCGGCCGCAGGTTCCTCGCCAGCACTACAGTCCCGCCCTCGCATACGGAGTACAGCTGGTCCCCGCTGTTGGCCCAGAGGAGGCAGTTGATGCGCTTGCCCCTGTGGGACTTGTGGTGGAACCCTGACCCTCTAGCCCATCCCGTGCCGGGGCTACCGCCGGTGGGTGGCGGAGGAGCCTTCGAGGTGGTAGATTTTTTCGAGACGGAAGATATCGCAACACAACCGGTTGGGTGTTTCGGCAGGTGGTCGTTATTCCCACGCGCACGGCAAACGAGCGGAGGCAGCAGTGGGGTAGGTACAGTAGTGCATGCAACAACGTCGGTGTGGGGTGGTGGTCATGCTATGATATACTTGGAATCAAATACAGCAGTACTTAGGTCATTCTGTAACAGACATCGCTTGTCAACGAATGTTTCCACCAGGACTAGGAGCTGAATTCCTTTGCTGGACGGGTCCTTCACTTCTTGCGACACTTCAACAGCAGACGCAATAGACGATGCGGTATGTTGTATGCCAACCGGCTGTTGTTGCACTTGCGAGACAATTTCCTCGGACACGATAGCAACAGCAGTGCCGCTGCGGTTTAACAGCATTTGGCTTTATCTTAAGATGCCCGGACTACCGCATGTACAGGAAACTCTAGCTGTGGCTGTACCGGTGCTTGTTGTCGGTCTGAAGCACACACCCGTCTGCTGCCTCCCAACTGCTACTGCTGAGCAAAATACGAAGAGAAGATCCACATGTTGTCCCGTAGTCCGTCGCCGTACCGCTCGTTCAGAACCCTCGGCTCTTGAGAAGGCCAATCATAGACTATCACACGTATAACTGCTGCGTAAAGGCGACAGCACCTACGCAAGGCACAACCAACGCACCTGCGTGACGAACACGAAGCCATCCGAAGTTCCGACGGCCAGTTTGCCTCCGCCAGGAGCAATGGCAACGCAGGTGATGTCCGGTGGCACTGCCGCAGCTGCCGGTGATTCGATCGGACTTGCGACCCCGCTCCCTAGGGCCCGGGTGGGGTAGATGACCGTGCGCTTCCACCTCTCCTCCTCGCTGCTCCGCCTGACCCTGTCCTCGTGCTGCCTGTAGTACACGTGGACAACTCCCCTCTCGAACCCTACTGCAACAGCACTCGACACGCTTGAGTGAAGACAGGTGGAAACGAGATGAGGTGGACGCTCGTCTTCTTTCTCCGCCGCCGAACGTGCTGTTGTTGCACCGCGTCCCGCCGGCGGCGGTCCTCCCGAGCTGCTGGTATCAAGCAGAGACTTTCTTCTGGCGAGTGGGGTCGAGCTGTCGCCGAGACGCAGGTGGAACAGCGGTCGTTCTTTCATCAGGCTGACGTTGTGTCCCCGGTCTTCGGCTTACAGCAGTAGTAAACACAGGCAGGACAAGACCAGGGATGGGCAGCACACTCTGGAACAGTTTTGAATGTCCGGAACGTTTGAAGGAAACAACCTCTTTGTTTGGTCCTACCGGAATACACTCCTGTGCTTTGGTTGCTCTTCTTTCCTTTTTCAATGTCAGAGACGCAGTTTGCTCTTCTGACTGTGCCTAGTACATCGCCGGTGAACGCACGTTAGGAGGATAGCGATAGCGAGACCCTCTGTCTGCTGTTCTGCGGGACTGTAAGGAGCCCCGCAGACTGGAACAACACACACCGGCCTCTATCCGGGTTGCAGAGTTCAAATTCAAAATTTAAACTTCAAGCCCTGTTTGCATGCTCCTGCTGCCTGGTCTCCTGGTGCAGCAGTCCAAATCTTCAGAATGCAGGGCCAGCTTGCACACAAAGATCCGCGATGGGCGGTCTGCTGTCTTCCCTCTCTTCCCCACGTCTATCCCCCCACCCCGCCTCTCTCCGCTCGTGCAAGGGATCTGTTGAAGTCTTTCGCAGAGAGTGCGGATGGAACGTGCTGGATACGGGGCTTATCACATTGAGTGTGCAGCCTACATGTATACGCTGGTATGTACAGCAGCTCCTGCGCGGTAGATACCTCGAAGTAGATGTGAGACTGGCTCTTTTGCGTGTTCGGGTGTTCAGCGGTACATCAGTAGAGTATTCACACGGCGGCCTACCTCGTACACCTGGGCTCCCGTTGCGCGCAAAAACGAAGCCAGAACACGCCTACAGGATATATCGCTCCTTGTCGGGCAAATGCTTCAAGCTCTTCCCTCTCGAAAGACGCTCTTCACCAATTTCGTAGACTTGATTTCCCTGCCACTTGGTGTGATTCTCCGATCCGTGCAAAGTCTAGTTGCACACCGCGTGCGTGACCTCCGGCCTTTGCTGTTTCTCGTGCCATCTACTATAGACTACTCTGAGCGCCAGTCTACACCTTCGTAGACGCCTGACGCAATACTTCTATGTAGTACGTATGCAGCTGGGGGCACGCACGAGGGAGAACACACACGTGGTGTTTTGATAGTCCGCGTACGTACAAAATTACAAGTTTAGACTATCGCTCCGGATATATTCGAACCCACACCCCTTAGCGTCCAAGGCTCGCGAGGTTACCCTGACCCATCGTGATGACACGTCAGCATCATTGGACAACAACTTAATACATCTTCCAAGAAGATGGTGCACTACTGAAAGGTCAAGGGTGAGGTCGTGGACACCGACTCCCGGCACAATTTGGTGGGCCTGAAGATCAGTTGCGGCCAACAAACCCCCCCACTTTCGACCAAAAGATAGGTTGCGATTCACTGCATCAAAATGCGGACCAGTAACCAAAGTGCGGACAACACCTTCGACGACAAGGCCAACCCGAATACTCCCGCCCTCCACCTGTCTGGAAATGCTCGAGGCCAATCAGCGCGTAAACCGGCAAGATTCGGAGAGCAACTCATATCCTTACAACATACCAGTAACCGTAAGAGTCAAAGTTCACAAGTGACGCCCACACGACCTCCTCCTTTCAACGTCTTCATTCAGCCTTTCATTCAGCCTTCACAGAGGTATCGCCAACGGCCCAGAAGCGAGCAAATGGAACCCCCCCCAGCCAAAGCCAAGCAAAAAACGCCGCACACTCTTCTATAACGCCCTTCACCCAGAGTTGACCATTGCCCCTCGGACACGGGCGCCAACAACCACCATGCCACCTCCAACTCTGTTGCTTTACGCGAAGTAGAGTGAGCCCCAAGCAAAAACGTAACGTCGTCACGCCTTTTTCGGGTTTCAAAAGGACCAATCCACACCCAACGGTAAGGTGTGCTCGACAATTCGCCAACGAGCGGAAGGCGTTGAGGCTACCGTTGTCCCCGTCTCGCCCGCCTGCCTGCCGCCGTCATCATTAAACTATTTACGGCTTTACTACATCTCCATCGGGGTTAAGGTGATCACACTCGTGTCCGTGCGCGCGGTGAGCAACGATCCTCTGTCCACAAACTTCCTCTCCAGGTGCTCGAACACCACAGGTTTGCGCCTCATGCGCCCCTTTCTCAACCTGCCCAAGGTGCCTAGAAACGACCAAACACATGGGATGACGGGGGCGAAGGGAAGAGGGAAATACACATGCGGGTTCAGACGCAGAACAACCCACGGCAGCAATGACAGCACCCGGAGCCGACTGCAACAACAGGCTTGGCAGATTTGGTGCGCAGGAGATCGCGATCGTCGGGTAAATTACGTCCTGCGTCCACCGCAAAGATGTAGTCTACGCTCATGGGGCAATCTTCCATTGCATCATGGCGTCAAACGCGTGGTCGCCACTAAAAGCCACACGCGTGGTAGATATCTATATCTCTACTACAAGAGCGGGGATAAACAAACACTTGTGTCCCACTTACAACGGGTCCATTGAAAGCGGACAATCACATGGCGACGAAGGATCAAAAGCCGAACCTGCATGCATCACCGAGAACCGATTGGGCCGCTATGGGTTCGTTCGTGTCAAAACCTTTCTCCCGGCAACTTGTCACCCACGGAACAAAATACCCCGGTACCCCATACGGTTCCTGCTCAAATACGGGTCACCCGTCTCTTGTCTCACCGGCCTTCGAAGCTAGGCACTCCATGACGAGGAGGAGTTGGTGCGACAGTAGGTGGTCCCACCGGTCGACGTCTTCCGTTAGTAGCGTGTCGTAGTGGGCGTTAACCTGCACAGCAAGTAGTGCGCAGCAAGCAGTGCACAGCATCAGCGGACCTGTCTTAGCTGTGGGTGTTGCTACCCTACAATCTTTTCCTACACTTGTTGTCATCCGCATCGGTCCAAAGGTCCGTGTCGTTAACGACGATGGTCAAGACGTAGCGTAGCCCTGTCAGTGTGTGCTCCACTGCTACCACCCTGCCGTGCGACGCGCGTAAATCCTAGCCTACATGTAGCTAGTGGATGAACACTGCAGCCAGGTACTATATGTGCTCAATCACATCCTCTCTTTCAAGAAGAGAAGCCACCGTCCGGCACCACAAACAAGAATGATTCACAGTTCTGCTGGGTTGCCCGTTAAGTTTCACTTGTCTTTTTAATACTGAGTTACGCGGAGGGGTTTCCCGACACTCGTCCCCTCTACACCAAAGCCAAATATTGCCAATAATCACAAATTTAGGACAACATTCACGTCGGCACGTGAACCATTTTTTACCTTCGAATAGCGTCTATCGTCTATCAAACGCTTACCTCGTTGGCCACCGTGCATAGCTCATCCCGCAGAGCAGCGTCGCCGGCGGCGTCAGCATCCGGCTTACTATCCTCCGTCAAGCTAATCAGAGATGGTCGGAGGGGATACTCCGCAGGAACCTTTAGAAAGCGGCACACGAAGACAAAACAAGACGCACAAGAAAACAAACATCGCACAACGCGGACAAAACGGGTCGATATTAAGACCCCGACACCCGACCAACACACACACCCCTCCAAGGCGCATTCACGATCCCGTGACACGACGCACAGACTACTGGTCGGGGTGCACCCGTTCCATTGGTTGCACGATTCGGAAAACACGCACAAAGATCATCTTATCATGAGACGAACGCAAAGTTTGCTCTACGACGCGCGAAGGCATCGTCCCGGCCGTGAGCATGAAAGCCCACTGCAAGCACCGCAACGGCTGCGGCAGGATGCACCAAACTCCAACGCAACGACCGTAGCGCTGCTCATCCCATACCATCCTATCCCATACCATCCCCATCTGTTCTGGACGCTCGACTATCTACTATACCTGCTGTCGGCACGCTTCGGGGGCGTGCCAGAAAGGGATACGCAGAATCATTCATTCCTTCAACCAAAGTCGCGCGAGAGGCTCGGCAACCCATTCCTCGTAGGCTCTTGAACCCGAACTTTGCACCATGTACCAATCACGGCCAAGCACCTCCGACACTGTGTTACAGCCGGGATTGTAGAAACATCCTGGCCACGATCATCCGACACAAAATACACGAGAAACCCTGAGACCACTGCTGTTACAATCGTACAATGGGGGCAACCCCACACATACTGGTGTATCCAATTCTATCAGCCATCGCACCTCCACTTGCACATGCACGATTCTCTCCTTCCCACGGCCGTGCTTGATGCTGAGAGTCCCCTTGAAATACCGCGCGCCGAACCGCTCCCACAGCTCAAGACTACGACAGCACGCCGCTTCGGCTTCCTCGCTGCCACCAGACTTTGAGGCGTGGTTTTCTTGGAAAGTGGTTGAGGCCTGCTGTTGCTCCGAGCCCGACAGCTCCTTCCAGCTGGACGCAAAAACCAGGCACGGGTGTAACGCCGGCGACGTTGGATGAATGGGACAATGGCGGCCGAAGATGTTCAAGAGCCCAGGTATCGCACCAACTACGCGCGGGTAAAATCTACGATAAGTGTACAGACGTCCCTGCTTCAAGGACATTCAGTGCTGTCTTCACTTTACAAACCCTTCCCATCTCTTCTTGGCACCTTCCGACATCCGTGCTGGTCCTAATGATCCAACTGACCCGAACGTCTTCCGTGGTCGCACGCTAACATAACTGTGTACGTACCACAGAATTGCATTTTTTTCTTTTTTTGGTTCATCGAGATTCGCTGGGCTCTTCGAGTCAAAAACACGTCAGCAATATGAGGTGTTGAGCTTGGGAAACGTCACACCGCCGCTGGCAGCCAGCTGTGGGCTGGTCCTGTCACCAACTTTAACTTTTATCCCATCTTGCATAGGCCGACACAAATCTCCGCGTGCAACACAAAAACGATGGCAGACAGGCCACAAAGATTCAGCCACCCCTTAACCACTCACTACTCGCATCACCTTCGCAGCTCGACACCCTCGGTGACAACCTCGTCTCGGCTCCCGGGCAGCGGCGAAGGACCTTTCCCGTCGGAGAGCGCCTTCAGCTGACCGCCCAGGGCCGCAAGCGTGCGCGCCCGCGACCTCAAGGCCGCCACCGCCGACCTCGTCGTCGGCTCTATCGGCATCGTGGTGGCCGCGACCGCCCCCCCGCCGTCCGCCGCGGGCGGGAAGCGCAGGCCGGCGAGCCGCTGCGCCCATCGGTACGGTCGGCAAGGGACATCCGCGGGGTACTCGAAGACACCGAGAGGGGACGCCTGTGCCGCCTTGTTGTGGTGGTTGGCCGGGTTGGGGGTGTCCTTACCGGTGTCGGCCGGGAAGAGGTTGGCGAGGAGGGCCCCGCCGTCGTGGGCGGCGGGGCGGACGGCCACGACCCCGAGGGAAGGGAAGAAGGAGAACCTTACCTTGAAGGTTTCGGCGGTGCTTGTGCTGCCGCTGGCTTTGGGAGGAGCGGCGGCGGCACCAGCGTCACCTTGCGATCGATGAAAATGGTGCATACGGTACGGAGGGGGTAGCGTTGGCGATGGCGGCGTCGAGAGCACGATAAGGGTAGGATCAGCCGCGACACCGCCGTAGAAAAGAAACAGACTGGGTATGTAGAACTAGCCTTGACACCGTACTGTAGAAAACAAGAGGAGTTCTATGTGTAGTCTCCTTACACAACACGCTACGGCATGATCGTGTCTCAATTCTACATTATCGACGTAAAATGCCGACAGCATCCACCAATGTAGGTGGACGAAACATAACAACACGTCAGCTTCTTGTCCAGTACCCGCTGGCCACAAACAAAAAGAAGATTATGCTTACGAACGAGGCTCTCTACCCCTGCAAAACCAAACTACTGTAACCACTTTCACACAACGCCAAACACTCACTTTTCCTGTCGCCGAAGTTGATGGTCAGTTGCACCTCCAACGGGGAAGGTCTGAGAGCCTCGAGAGTAGCCTTTCCAGCCTCTCTCCTGGAGATAGTCCTCTTCAACCTTGCCCTTCCCTCACCACCTCCTGCCACTCCGCCTTCGCCATCCTCTTGTTCGCGGTCCAACCTTGGGCGCTTGCTGTTGGCGAGCGCGGTTCGACACCCAATACAACCAACAAGAGCGAGAAGAGAGGGGTTCGAGGTGGGAATGTTGTGTTGCGGGTTCCAGTTTCGATCGTATGAAATAAAGCAACAAATTACTGACGCAACTAACTCAGACGTAGGTGCATGCGACCATGGCAAAGGCCGCGTATCGTCCAGCAGCAAGCTCGGCAATATTTGACACAACCATCGCCGACAATGTGTCCTTTCGAATCACGGTATGCCATGCAGCGCCAACAGCAGCACCGTGGCATCTGGTATGAGGCCTTGCGTGCAGTGGTTGTCGATCGCTAACGCGCCATGTAGTCGCCCGCACTCCGCCCACGCGGTGGCCGAAAATTCTCCCGAGCACCGTTTGATCGAGATAACGCCAAACAAATACACGGGGCCCCTCCCAAACCGAAACATGTAAACAAAAAACCTCAAGCTCGGGGCTTCACAACACAGGCCATTACAAAACTATGAGGCCCCTGGTGCCGCCGAAAAACGACCAAGTATCACATCGCCACCAGATCTGTCCCGAACAGCGGCAACAGTACATACTCACACACCCACCTGTCGGGTTCAGAAGAGCCACTGGTCGAGTCGGTGCTAGCCGCGGGGGCCTCGGCGGAGTCTGAGGCATCCTTCGGTCCCGCGGCCGCTGCCTTCGCAGACGCGCTCACGCAGGCCTTGGCTGGCTCGATAGTCACGCTCGCCGCCAGGCCAGGGGGGTGTCGGTCGCCTCCCACGTCTCCTCCGTCTCCCCCAAAGGTTGCCAATGGCGAGAAGGCCCCGCTCTCGTCCATGCCGCCCGTTGCTGCTCGCCGCGACACGTACGTACGCATGCACACACGTTGAGACAACACGTTGAGACACGGCACAAGAGGGACACAAAGGACAACTTTTCAATTTCCATTGTCGAGACACCCACTCAAGAGCGCCACTTCCTCACAATGGTACATCCATTAGGAAAATATAAGTAACAATAAGGTTAAATTTGTAGACCTACGTTACAACAAGGTTGTAGACCAACAAGCTTTTTGCATTTAAGGGATTGGCCGCATTGTCTACACACGTCCCAGATCGATCGTCTCTCTTGCCACCATACAAGTAGCTGCGCCGGTTCAACCGCAGGCATGGATTTCCCGGCTACGCCATGCGGACTACAGGATTTAGAGACGAGTCAAGTCAGGCTCACCAGCTAGCACGGAGTCGCAGTATGCCTCTAGTTGACAGTACAAGGTAAATAGAGGTCCTGGGAGCTCAGATGAGCGCTCATGTCGACCCCGCCGGCTTCCAGGACGCCAGGGCATGTTTCTGCCCGTAGACGTGCGTGACGTTGGCGGGGGGGGGAAGACGCAGAGGGTTGAACAAACAGGTACACGCGGGTACTTGGCTCCTGCCAAATGCAACGGCAGCATCCATGATGATGACACAACAGTACGAATCGTCTGTAGGAGGCTGGCGGGCTTCTTGAGAGCACGAGGGCTGTCTGGACGCCGTTATACGGCCAAGACCTGAGCCACCGATGCATACAATCCGATGCCCTCCACACCCACTTACTTCTTGAGGGGAGCGAGAGCCCTCTCCACGTCCTTCAGGTTCTCGGGCAGCCTGTCGAGGTAGTCCCTGCTCTCCTTCACGGTCGAGCTGGCGGCCTTCACCCTGATCTGGGTCGCCTTTAGGGCCAGCTGGGCGCTGCAACCGACAACACAAAACAGACACATATCTTTGTCGACAAAGACCTGACATGCGGAAAGCACGAGCTTCCTGGAAACAAAAAAAGCGCCACCAGACACACGTGCAGGCACCACTACACCAGACCGCATGTACACGCGAAGCAGTGGAGCAGCCGTAGCACTGCTGTGCACGAGGTCCTCAGCGCAGAACTCAGCCTCGAATCACCCGCGACGCATGTATCATGCCCGCTTCACCGATAGAAACTCAAAAAGCTGTTGCATTTCTAGAGGGCTTCCTGCTACGGCATGAACGTCAATTTCAGCATCCTATCAGATCAGACACGAGAGGCGCCCAATGCCAAGAACAGAAGGACATAAGCAAGGAATCAGGGACTAATATGGCTACACTTGAGTTGGGTTATACACTTGAGTTGGGTTGAGGGGGGCATCGCTTCGTCTTGTGTATGCGGTGACAGCAAGCTTACGATCAATAAAGGTGGTTGGGGTCGGTCCGCATCAAGAGGCATTCAACACCGGAAAAGAAAATAACGAGCGTCGACCCACTTTATCCTTTGCTCCTTTTGATCCTTGAGTATGGCGAGGTTGCCTGCGTGCTCCTCTGCTGTCTGAAGGGTGTCCACATCTTCCAAGAATCCTTGCTCCTCGTCTTCCTCCATCTTGTTCAGCTCTGTCATACTGCAGTCGACAATGCAGATACGAATGGCAAGACTTCACACCAGGCGATAATCAAGCATCGCGAATCTGAGGTCAAGCAACTGTGTAATCAAATCACGAAGGATGATGCATGCCTTTGCCGCTGCCCTCTCTTGGCTGCACTCGTGGTGTTCTTGACGGCGAACAATGGAAGGAAGCGACATGGCGTTGAAAAGCAAACAATCCCTGGGGTAAACGCAGATGCCAATTTCTACAATAGGGCTTGCGCAAGTCACGGGGTTCGAGCAATACCACCTTGCCAAGAGCTGCCTGTGATGGCCGAAAATCTTGCCCCGCCATCTTGACGTGCACATGCATGTACATATGTAGTAACGGCGCGTCTAAGCGTGTGTACCACTACAGCACGGCGTGGTACACCGCAAGATGATGGCACCATACAGATAGCAGTACAGCAGTACAGCACGAACTGCAAACTTTCGGGCAGGACAGAGCATCTCACGTGAAATCTCTGCAGAGTTGCGTCTCCCGGGAGAGGTAGTCCCTCTCGTACAGCAAGTTCTCCAGCTGCAGGTGGTTCACGTCCATGGTCTGCTTCGCGGTAGCCACCTTGTTCCTGCAAGGCAGGTGCGCGACAGCAGCAGTAGCACACCGGCATCGACAACCGTGGAAAATGAGGGAAAGTTTTGCGTTTGCCAAACAACAACTCACACGGCTTGCGTGGGTAACCTGCGTCCGCGGGCCCCACCTTTGTGGAAACACTGCCGGCGTCTACGGTAGTACTTGTCAACCACTTCGGTACTGTACATAAGGGAGAGGGGGGACAGCTGTAGTTGCCTAGCGGCAGGCTCCGTTATGCCACAACCTACAGCTCAGCACCGCCCGGGGTATTGAACTAAGATGCCACACACGTGGGTAATACATACATAGGAGCTCACAACCCAAGATCGACAACAAGCAGTGCACCACTTCGTTCCCCCATGTCACCCCTCCTCGCTTGTCGGCAGCGTGCGGTGCAACAAGTCCTCTCTCCTCAAGATATTGCAATACATGGCAGAGCCGAGACCTGGTATTGTTCAGATTTACCTGATGGTTTCGATAGCGCTGTGAATTTTTCTGGTAGTGGAGTGCAGCTCGGTGAAGAGCAGCTGCGCCTTCCTCATCTTGCCGTGCACTGAAGGGCCATCGTCGTGGAGGAGCCCCACAGCGTCAGCTGCTGGAGCGGTTGCCAAGTCTTCCCAGTCTTGTGCCATGGACGATATCAGTGTCTCTAGAGACCCAGTTAGCCGCTTGAATCTCTGCAAAGGCTTCCTGGCGATCGAATCCTCATGCTCAGGCATCTTTGGTGTAGATACCACCCGCGAGATATCGCAGCTCAGCTCTGACTGCTGTGTGTGCAGTGTGTACAGTTCAGTGAGTGAGTAGCACAAGGCGGCGGCAGCACGGCCATCTGCCCCCCCCCCCCCCTGGATTCACGGCACCCCTTCTCAAGCCCGCTGCTGCGCAGCAACAGCCCTACCACACACGGCACCGTACACAGCAGCAGAGCCGGCCTCTCTCTCTCTGCTGACCCAAACACTACAGACAAGGCTACACCATGACCGAACCTGATAAGGTGAGCAAAGGGGAGATTCACGAGTATGTTAGCATCTGGCGCTGCTGGAGATGGAAAAGCTGTGGGTATTGTTTCTTTTCTCTGACAGGGAAACGTCATAACTGGTGGGTAGTACATTTGCATCGCAGGCAGGCCAGGAGACCTTCGCACTCTCCACGGCAAAGCAAGCTTCGGACTCCCACCCACGGATAGCTAGACTTCGGCGCCTATGATGGTGTCGGCGAAGGCTGTTGGGTTCGACGGTAGAGTTTGGAATGTCGTTTCTGGTGTTATATTTTGTCTGGCGGAGATCCGACACAACGCTTGCTGCGTACGTTGCCACTCATTTTCAACTTCCACTGCTGTGCCTGGCCTACTGCTGTATGTACCGCTCGACATGATGTGATTGCGTAAGCCCGAGGTTTGTGCCACCGCGCTCAAACACTTTGTTGCGAGCTGTGAGCCTTGGTCGTTAAACACAACCGACCGGTCAGGGTGTCTGTCGGCGTGTGCGGTTCGACTGCACATTGGGTACCAGCGGCCTTTCCACGTACTCGGTGGCCGCGAACTTGTTTGGTGTGTGTTCGTCGTCACCCCGCATTCCTTGTGCGTGTAGGGCTCGCCTGCCTGGAAGCGGCTGGAGTTATGGGATTGGTAGCCATGGCAATGGTGACATACACCCGCCGGCAATCGCTGTCGTTTGCAACTACAGGCAATACCGAGGCCCTGCACAACCCAAAGCGGCACGGATCTCTGCGTTTCCCCCCTATATTGTACATAGGTGGAAGTCATCGCTCCCCTCGACTTGCAAAAGTCGATTGCTCCATAACCAGGAGGGCGTGAAAGCCGACCGATGTGCAAAAGGAAAGATAGCTCTCGACGACATATATCCCACATGACCCTTTTCGGCATTGGCATCCTGTCAATGGCGGAGCAATCGAACAGAAAAGTATTCCGTCTCTAAGTAGGGGTGTCCTGTGAGGTTCGCTTTCACTGATGTGCCTCACGACGTCACCGCAGTAGTGTTGTGCATACTTGACAAAGCTTCGTTGAGAGCTTTATCCCACAACGCCACACAGAGCTGTGGTTCATCTGCACAGCTTATTTCTTTGACTCGCGTCGCGCCGCCGCCATTGAATCATCATCATACCGCGACCACAAATCCGCGTTTGTTTTCTCATCTCACCTACTTACACAACTTACAAACTCCCCACGTTTTTTTTTTTCGAACCCCGAAACGGAAACCCCAGGCTGCCGCCAAGGCTCTGAAGAAGCTGCTGAAGAAGGAGAAGAAGAAGGCCGCGGAGGCAGCCGAAGCCGCCGCAGAAACCACACCCACGCCCGGTCGGCCCAGGACTCGATCCATGGATCTCGCCGAAGCAACCAGCGGCCGCCCCCGAACCCGATCCATGGATTTGGCGGAAGGCATGGCGGTAAGCTCCCCCGCGGCCAAGACCGAAAAGAAGAAGAAGAAGAAAAAGCGGAAGGCCGAGGACGCCGGAGAGGCCGCTCCTAAGAAATCGAAGACCACGGACGTGGCGGAGCCTACCGAACCTGCCACGGAACCCGCCGGTGGCGCACCCGCGCTCACAGCGGCGGAGTTTTGCTCGACCCACAAGATCGCGATCAAGTCGGACGATGATAGCTTCGACTGTCCCGTGCCAATGTCCTCGTTCGAATCGACTCCGTTCGGCGGGCCGATCCGTGGCGCGCTCAAGGCGGCGGGGTACCCTGCACCGACACCGACCCAGGCACAGTGAGTGTTTTCTTGACCGCGAAGTGGAGTTACATGTTGGTTGGGAGAGGCGAGGCAATTATGTCAGTACCATTGTACGATTGTCTATAATAGTGGCAATGCCGGTACTATACTTGGCTGTGGTACGTGCTCCTACATTGCACCGAATACCAGGGAGGAAACAAGTCGCATACGTGTAGTAGTTTTGGTTTCTTGGGTGCGTCGTTGTTGTCGGTGTCGGTTTGTACAGCGATTGTTGGCTGGCCTAGCCTGGTGTTCATCGTGCACACGCATACATACACTACTCCGTCTCTCCGTCTAGATGTATGTACCTGCTACTATTAATAGACGTTCGTACCTCCGAACTACCGCCTTTCGAATGGCACGCACCTTGCGCTAGCTCGTGCCCTTACGCCCCTCGCCCTACCCCACCTCGCCCTAACCGACCCAGATCATGGCCCATCGCTCTGAGCGGTCGCGACATCATCTCCGTGGCAAGAACAGGGTCCGGAAAGACGCTCGGTTTCTTGCTGCCGGCGTTCCATGCGTTGCTCAACAGGCCCGGGGGTTGCAAGCCACGGATGGGTGGTCCGTACATCGTTGTTCTCGCGCCGACACGCGAGCTGGCGTGCCAGATTAACGAGGAGGCCACCAAGTTCGGCAAAGCGGCCGGTATCCGCAGCACCACCGTGTACGGTAAGTTTCACCATTCTTGGTTGTGTTTGTGTGTGCGACGACGGTATTCTCGACGCTGTTGAGCTGGCTGTGGGCGGGAGCGACATGCACTGTCTTGCACTTGGACTACTAGAAAGGCCGTTCGTACTAGCTCATGATGTCCTACGTACAGTAGCACTGGAATTCTTGGGTGTCACTATCGTCTTCGCCGTTTTTCTTACCACAAAAGTAGCGCGGACACCCACATCGACTCTTGTAGGTCGGAAATCCGACCACTCGAGACTGCTTTCCACTCCTTCAAAAGGATTGACGCGGCTCCTCATTGACCAGACATTTTGCTACTTGGAAGCTATTTCCATGCTCATCCCCTGCTCCCCATAACTTGTCTCCTTTCGTCATTCCTTCCACCAACCGTCGCCTCTCGACAACTTCTTTCGTCACTACATACGCCTCTGCAAATCGGCGCAGGCGGTTCGCCCAAGTACCCCCAGATCAAGGCCATCCAGAGCGGTGTGCAGGTGGTCATCGCTACCCCCGGTCGGCTGAACGACATCATGGAGATGGGCAAGATCAACATGACGAACGTGATGACCCTCGCGCTCGACGAAGCTGATCGAATGCTCGACATGGGCTTCGAGCCGCAGATCCGAACGATCATCGATGCCATGCCGGCGAAACGGCAGACGCTCTTCTTCACGGCGACGTGGCCCAAGGAAGTGCAGCGGCTGGCGCGCGACTTCGTCACGAACCCGGTTCATATCACCGTGGGCGACGCGGGGAAGCTCAACGCGAACAAGAGCATCACGCAGCACATCCACGTGAGTTCGCTCTCTTGGGTAGGACCTGCTGGACTGCAGGACCAACATCTTGACGGCTTGTGTGTAGGTGTTTGCGTGGTGATGTATTTTGATGCCTGCCGTCGTTTGTGCAGGCATGGGAGGGTACTGGTGATGGACACACGAAGCTTGTAGCTCCCTCCCGTGTTGCGCGTTCGTTCAAAACCTTGGATCTGTCTCACTTCGCTCGTTAATTCTCTTCGCTTCCATGTATGATTAGCAATTACCTGACCAGAGGTGGTCACGAGTGTGCTATTGGCACCAGTCCTTTGCAACGTTAGCATGTGTTGCCCTTATTATTTGGCAACTCCTCATGCCCACCTACTCCCCCCCCCCACGGGTTTCGGCGGCGATGGTTCGTGTTTTGTTGTGCTGTGTTTCAGATTGTAGACGAGAGGGATAAGGGGGACAAGCTCTGGGAGCTGCTGACCAAGCTGCACGAGAACCCCCCCAAGGCCGACCACGGGAAGACGGTGAGTTGCTTTCAGCCGACTCATAAAGACAGCTGCGAACCCGGCGTCCTCTTGACAGTATTCCGCCCAGCATGTGTTGGCATGCGCTTCTCTAGCGCATCTGTCGTGTCCTACGCAGTGTTCACTCCATTACGGCATACCGATTTTTTTGCTTTCTCTACGTTTAGTGTGGGCAACACGTTTGTACACGTCCCCAAAGCATATTGACCCTTTTTTTCTCGGCATTCTTAAGGAAGGCCTGCATAACACGGTACAATGGGTGGGTTGAAACTGCGAGCGGTATATGTTGATGACACTTCATGTTTTCTACCCCAACGCGTTCGTTTTCCACGCTGGCCTGCATGCCTCATTTCCTCTTATTTGATGTAATGTACGAATGCATGGTGCGACCGTCACGCAGATCATTTTTTCGTCCAAGAAGCGAAATTGCGACAAGCTCGCCCAGGCGGCGTGGGACCGCGGGTTCGCGGTGGACTCGTTGCACGGCGACCGTGAGCAGTGGGAGAGGACGAAGGTTATGGACCAGTACCGGTCGGGGGAGGTTCGCATGCTGGTGGCGACGGACGTGGCCGCGAGGGGCCTGGACGTTAAGGACATATCGTACGTGATCAACTACGACTTCCCAGTCGACGGCGTTGAGGTAAGGGTTACCCTAGTCATCACCTCCAGCCCTTACTAAAAGGTACAGAGCAACCCCAAAGGCTAGCAAGCTCGACTCCGTGAAGCAATTGAGATGGTACATAGGATTTCTTTCTTGTTGGTGCGACATGTGCTGAGTTTTGCAATGGCAGCGGCGGTAGAGAACCAATGCGTACGACTTTGAGAGAAGGAAACGTAAACGTGCTCAGCAATGCGCTGTGTGGCACACATGAAACCATTTACTCCTCGTAAGGCTTGGCGTTGTACCTTGGTCATCTTTGGAACCGGAAACGTACATAGTAGACACGACTGCCTGCACGCCGAACGTGTCCGGCAATGCAGCGGCGTGCCTGATTCACTGTAGCAATAGCTCCTCGTGTCAGAGTTCTGGACCCCCACACCGCTTCGGGCGACATGGGGGGTTGAAGGCCAACCTTGAGTAGGAGCTAAGAGCAAACCACAATCCCGGCGGTGTCGCAATCCCTCGGCCGTTAGTCCCTCGCGGCCGCTGAGTGTCGCCATCGTCGTACAGACCGATTTAGTCATGTAGACCGATCCAAGTCGAGAAGACCGATCGTAATCGATTAGACCGATCGAAATATATATTTGACATAAAGAAGTCCAAATGGACAGTCCGCGAAGTTGGCGGAGCCAATTCAAATGGAAACATCCAACGCCAGCGTCAAGTATCATGTACGTACCGTGAGGAATAACCCAGAACGGCAACGATACGACCGACCGCCAGACATAGGCTTGGGCGGGCTCTTGAGGGTCTTGACTTGTGCCTCGGCGCACATTGATGCGTGGTAAGGAAGTAGTGTGCCTGGTACACCGTATTCTAATTCAGGGGCGTGCACCCACCCCTCGAGGTATATGCTTATGGTCGTTATTTCAACGGTTAAAATAGACCACTATCTGCACCTTCAAGAGCCCCCACTGGTAACACATTCTGCCCCTCTTGACCCCCTTCTTCCCCCCCCCCCCCACTCCGTATGACACGGCCCGAAATGTCAACAGAACTACATCCACCGCATCGGGCGAACAGCCCGCGGAAACGCCAGCGGCGACGCGTTCACGTTCTTCACGAGTTCCGATGCCAAGTTCGCGAACAAGCTCGTGGGTGTGCTTAGAGGCGCCAACCAAGACGTGCCGGCGGAGTTGCAAAAGATGGATCGCGGTGGCGGTGGGAGGGGCGGGGGACGCGGCGGGTGGCGGGGTGGGGGGAGGGGGGGCCGTGGGGGAGGCAGGGGGCGCGGAGGGTTCGGCGGGCGCGGCCGAAAATGGTGATGAGATTGACGCGTTGTCGTGCGTTATGCTGCGGAATTGACACCGTGGCTGCTTGTGTAGTTATATCGAGAGGAAGTGGAAGTGGCTAAGTGCTGTTTATTTAGTGTGAAGTGCTGGTTGTGTCGATAGCGCAGGCAGCACTTCCGGGTAAATCAGGACATGAGGGAAATTGTGCTATTGTCTGTTTTAAGTCGTCCCGTCGCACACAAAGCAAGTAATTTTGGGAGGGGCGCCTGAAGAGGTTCCAAGGCGTTCACGATGCGCGGATGGGAGATTTCGTGGACCTATTTGCTTGATAAGGTCTTGCTGCCGAAGCAATGCGGGGTTGGTTTCCAGGCACCAGATCAGATCAGCCGAACCAGCACACTAACTGCGATGGATGGCTGAAAAATGCGGCTGTACAGCCAAATAGGAGGAGTGCGGTTTATGGGCTTGGAAGTTGGAGACGGGTCAGGGCGACAAAACATTTTACTTTTTATCGTTGCATTTTTTTTGAGGTGTACGTTGCGGGCGTGCGTAGTACTCCTGAGTTTTTTCTATGGACCACGTACAAAAATATATGTAGGTAATTCCGTCCCCGCGGGTCGCCGCACCCGATCTATGCTATGTAATTTCTAAGGTCACCACACGGTGAGGGTTTTCATTAACGTCCTCTTGGGGCTGTGCATGATGTCATCCCGTTCAAGCTGCAGGCCTTGCCTTGGCGATTTATGGTGCAGATGATAGTGGTAACCTCAATGAGATGGCTAACTGCACAGTAGTCACGGGGGAAGTAAAGACAAGGTGTAAAGACACCTGTGCGCAGCACTACGAGACCGGAAGTTTGTCATGTGGAGTTGGATGATTTGAAAGACTAGCGGTATTCAAACTAAGTAGATGACTCCATTCGTGATGATGCTCCGGGGCTAGTCTTTCCAGCGATATGGCAATATGTAAATGAGCGAGCGTACACTCCTTTTCTCTGGGACCCCAGTATTAGTCCGAGTTGAATCGATTCGGACGAGCTCGGACAGGAGGCAGGTTTGTATGGTATGCATACCAATGCCTTTGCCTGCTTTAAGTACTCACGTGAACGATGAGGCCTTCATGTTCGGATCGACCCGAACGATCACTACTTGGCTCAAAACATAGCAGCATTACTTTCGGCCAAACGTGGTGGACAGCATCGACTCTTGGCTTTTATCAATTCTCTCAACACCCTTGTCTCCCCACTTGTGGGCGCTTCGGCCAATGCGCCATTGCAAACGCGCCCGTCGATAGCGGGGTGCGCTGGTTCTGGTTCCGGTCCTATGAGGCAATAACATGTTACCCAGTGGTTCCCCTCAGTACCCATATTTTCAGTGAATACTATCTACGCAGACAGCCACCGTCTCGCGATAACTCGGCAACAGGACTGTTGTGTGCTGTGTCACCTCACAATCTCTTGAGTCCAAAATTCTTTCGATGATGCCGTGCTCGTCCTGGGATTTCATTTAGGCAAGAACTCCGCGAGTAACTTCATTCATTCGTGGTATTGGCCATGGTCCCGTGAGATGCCAGCAGAAACCTCGAGACAACGAAGCCACTTGCGACAAACACCTTGAGAGCACTCTCTTCACCCCAGGGAAAGGAGCCATTATTTGTTACGATGTCAGAAACCCCTTGATGTGGCACACCTCCTCCTTCGTTACACAAGAGTCCAACCTCTTCTACGCCGACAGTACTACTGTAGTTCTGAAGCTTTTCTGAAGCTTTAGCTTCAGTCTCATCGTTCGATATCCGTGGGTGGAACTTTCATTCGCATCCCCAACGCCTGGCCCGACCCGGTCTCAAATGCTGATCTCGGGCTACAGTGCAAATCTCGTGGCGTATGGTTCGGTAGGGAATCACAAACCATGACCCCTACCCGAGTTTGAGCAGCTTGCACCTCCTGTGGCCGGCACGACTCGGCCTTGACTGTTCCTGGTCTGTTTCGCCATGGGAACGGCCGGTTGAACAACGAAAGAGAGGCCTGCGTGCTGCGCGCCACCATCTTTTTTTTGTTGCGTTTGTGATTTTCTTCCTGAGTGACCGTTTTACACATGCGGTTGCTGCTGCTATGCTCGGAGTATGCTGCAAAGGTCGTATCGTCTCTGTCGCTTGGGCTGCAAGCTGTGCTCGCGTAGGAGATGCGAATTCCTCATTTTTTTCTCTACTGTGTCGATATCGATGAAGAAAAGCAACGGCAGCACGGTTGAAGATGCAGCCAACAACAGACGGTCCGCCATAGTTTTTTGTTCTTCTCTTGCTGCATAGTCTATGCATGGGTGGTAAAGCATCGCAAGCGTATTACACCTTGAGTCTGCTGCGTAGTCGTAATTTGAGCGATAAGGCAGATGGCAGCACAATCTTATTTACGTAGTGAGGTATGATAACCCAACAGTCTGCTCGTTCGTGCAGCGGTGCGCATCTTTCGCGACGGCAAGCGTATTGAGATAACATTATAGTTCGTTCGTGGTGCTTCTATGTAGCCATGTTCTTTTTTTTTTGCCACACTTCAAACCACAAAGAAAGGAAAGAAAGCCTCCACAGTTCGGAAACGGCAACTATGTTTTGTTTGTTATATTTGTTGTGTTTGTTGTTGCTGAGCGCACATCGGATGTCGCCGTTCGTTACACGTGTTTGACAGCCTTCGGTGGGCCACAGGTGTTAGGATGATCCGAACTGGGGGTAGCTTGTCGCAAGACGTGTGTTGAATAGGGTGTCGGCAACTCGGCGAACTCGCGCCAAGGAGGAAAGATGTGCTGGGCTTGTTGTATAGACTTCTTCTTCACATGAAAAACATGGACTCACATGAACACATGAACGAACATGGACACATGGACACATGGACAGACATGGACTGCACGCACGCGTGCACGCACCACCATGAGGGGGCGACGCAGTATACAACAGGGGTACCTTGCACACCCTGGAAATACATTCCACGTACCACACAATCCTACAACCACTTGGCATTGCTACAAGTATATCTATCAGCCCCCCTGCTTGTGACCATGCCATGTCTTTTTCGATCCTCAAGAACTCCAAAACACAAGAAAATAAACTCAGAAAGTCAACTCAACTCCAGAACAATAGCCTCACTGGCTAGACATCAATTCCCATCCCCGGTCATATCAGATATACTTCTTCGAACTTCAGTGAACTAATTGCCCCCCAGCCTAGAACACCATCCATTGAGAAAATCCATAGGCAAAAATGCAAAATGTTGCCGCCCTAGTTGTTTGATCACACACAAAATAAACCCAAACATCAAAATATTAATCCATACTCATTACGAAGTTACGATGAAACTCGAAATTTCCCACGTTAAGTGCCTTCGTGAGGAAGTCAGCATGTTGATACGCCGATTCCACGTGAAAAATCGAAATCTCCTTCCTGCATACCAAATCCCTGATAAAGTGGTGCCTTACGTCGATGTGCTTCGAGTTACTGTTGCTAATCGGGTTCTGCGCCAACTGAATAGCCCCGTGGTTATCCTCGAACACCGGAATACACGGCATATCGGCAACATGAAACGCCATACTTGCCTCAGAAACAACACTTCCTTCATCACATCCGCAAGGGAGACATACTCCGCCTCTGTCGTGCTTAACGTAACGTACTTCTGCGTCCTTGAAAACCAAGAAATACATCCCCCCCCACACATCACCAACCCTCCTGACACAGACCTCCTATCGGCAGCCTAACTTGCATAGTCTGCGTCTGCGAACACCTCCATGCTCAACCCTGCTACACTACCCCTCCTGAATGAAATACCCAAGTCACTAGTCCTTACCACATACCCCAAAATACCAAGACCTGCTCTCCAATGAATCTCTTTGGGAGAAGCACAGTAACGTGCTACCGCTCTCACTGCGTTCGCGATATCTGGCCTCGTTTGCGTTGCCAGCCACATCAATGATCCTATCAGCTCACGAAAAGGCCTTGATACCACTTCTTCATCTTGGTCAAACTCTGAAAGCTTCAACCCTACAGGAAGAGGAATTTCCTTCCCGTACTCTACCCCAAACTCCATCCCCAACTCTTCAGCGTACGTCTGCTGCGAGATCTTCAAAGTCCCTGCATCCCAATTTCCCAAGAATAAAATCTCCTCTACCACCTGCTCCCTCAGGTTGTGATCGCTGTTCACAACCAAACATCCTGTGAAAACCTCGAAAATAAAATCCTACTCGTTCAGGCTCGACCTCGTACTCAAAAAGACCAAACACAAAGCCGAAGCAACACAAACCAAAGCCAAAACAATGAGAACACCAAATAAGAAAAGTCACACCATTGGTCACACGAAGTATTTTTGCCGGCCCATCAACCCCAGCGCTTTCATCCATCCCTCCTGCCACTGCTTCTTCCCCGCGGTAGCCACCCTCGCCTCTGCCGCGGCCACCCTTTTCTGCTGGCATGGCCGCGGCTCAGGCTTCATCAGGTGCCACGTATCCGCCTGGGTGGGGTGGGTGCAGCTGTCTCTCCGGGGGGATTGACTCGGCAGTGCAGGGGAGATTGCGCATCCGAAAGGGAAAGGCACAGGCAAAATCAGTCACCCAAAGCGTCAATTTAGCACGTGGCACTGCTGGGGAGAATACCTTGCAATACGCCCCCTGTTCTGCGCAGCAGTGATCGTTGTCTTTCGCATTCTGTACGACATCATGGTTACCTATCAAATCGAACGCCAATCTACGACTGAGGTTAATTACTCCTCTTTCGTAAAAGTGACACAACGATTCTTGCGATTTGTCTGACAAGGTTAATTATTCCTCGGTCACGCAAACAACAATGTTGGATCCATGTTAGAGCTTACACAGCTGTGTTTCTGATCAACAACCCAACACATCTTCTTCTTACTGGTGTGCAACCACTGCGCTGCTTTCGTGCATACAGTGTTCTGGTACGAAATGGAGATCATTTCCATGTATTCCTGTCGGTTACACAGACCCCTGACCAAATTTCCAAGTGTATCCCCCTACAACTCCTACCGCTAGACATGCAACAGACTCCTGTTCGTAACACGCAACTCATTGTCGGTAGAGGGTACAAAGATTCATGACGTCTTCGCATTCCCGTTATCGACGTGAACGCAAAAATAATGAGTCGGAGATCAATCTCTGTATTTTAACACATACGGGACAAAATATTCCCATCAACTTCAAAGCACTCAAGAAGGTATATGCAGCAGCTTGGTTAGGATTCGCTGATAATCTCATCTAATCTTTCAGTTTCTGTGGGTGACTGGCAACCTTACGTGGCGTAGTAGCCATACAACCTCGCAGTTTTGTGTGGGTGACTGGCAACCTTACGTGACGCAATAACCATTTAACCTCGCAGTTTTGTGTGGGTGACTGGCAACCTTACGTGACGCAATATCAATTTAACCTCGCAGTTTTGTGTAGGTGACTGGCAACCTTACGTGAATCAATATCCATTTAACCTCGCAGTTTTGTGTGGATCACTGGCAACCTTATCAAGAATAGAACGCCCTTTGATGGGGTCTACTGCTGTACCTTTCAGGAAAAACATGTGCATGATGATGACGCGTATGTATGCAGAACTCAACAAGGTGTGCTGTAGGTTTATCGGAGCACACCCAAACGAAATCGACGAAGACAAGCATGCAAGCATATACCAAAACCACTTCAGACGTAAAACGGTGAGCAGATCATCACGTGCCTGAGCGGATCTACGACCTTAGTAGGCGCATGCTGATGGTGTTGCTGCTCGGCATCTCCAGTGTTACAACAACATTCGAAATTGGCTCTCAAAAACCTGTACTCCAACCTGGACATCCGCCACTAGAATCAAACACACCCGTAAATGGGGCTACATGTATTACATACAGGACTGACACGGAT